GTTTTGCGCGCTGAGTGACAACTTGGTTTGGGCTTATAAGGAAGTGATATGATCGTTTATAGTAGTAGTAACTTCGCCTTTGATCCAAAACTAGTAAACACCATGGCCAATGCTCAGACTGTCCTAGACTATCTAAGGGTAGCACCACCGGGCCTCACTACCGAAGAAACCAACAAAACGCCCAACACCACCAATGGCAATTATTCCTGGAGAGACATCAACAATGTTGGCGACTGGTCCGAATTCACCTACGCCCATGTTATGCAGCGCTACGGGAACTTGCTTCAGTCAGCACAGATTGCGGGCGAACCAATGCCAAACTCACCTCCACAATCTATCAACACCGAGCCGATGTTTGCCGTCCGTTTCACCACCTACATCCAAAGTCGGTTGCGTCGAGCGCTGCGAGCTAGTTTCCAGCATCTTGCACCTCAACTTGCAAATCTGCAAACTTACTCCTATCACAATTGACATAGGTGATGCAGCGCAGATCATAGACAACTTCCGACCAGACATAGCATTTTTTCAAGCAGATAGCACACTCAAACTCCTCCCCGAATCGCTGCCCGGGCGACCTGAAAGTGTCATGGAAATGGGCGTCACACTGGGCAACGGCGTTATCTGCAGAAGATCGCAGGGAATATAAGCAGGTTCTGTCTCAGGTCAACTTTTACATGAAACAGCACAACGCGCGTTACGGCTTCGTCTTGACTGACACTGAGTTGGTACCGATTAAAAGGCTGGATGGGAATGGCAACCTGCTGGTGGCACAGTCTATATTATGGGAAGCGAGAGGACAGGGACGCTTAACTATTCTTCTGGGACTGTGGTTTCTTGGGATGTTGGGGGCGGCAGATGATGACTGGCGGCTTTGATAAACAGTCTCGGGCTCAACAAGAGCTATAGAATTTCTGCCAGAGATTGCGTTGCTAGTAGTACTTTGTATTTGGGCGGAGGCCCTTCTTTTGATCATCTGCCTGTGAAGCATGTTAGCCGCACGGATAGGCAGGAAAATTAGTCGTCGGCCGCTCCGGGAACTCACAAGCTTCGCTCCAAAGCCTTTGACGCACTCAGTTTCCTCCTTAATCCAGCCACGTTCCCTGTCTCCAATGTATGTATTGCCAGGATAAGTGATGCCAACATCAAAATCGATCCAAACAACTCTTTCTGTGTCGTCCGGAATGATGAGAATGTTCTTGGGGTAACTATCGTTG